CCTGCCGGGATAATTGGCCACTGTAGGCAAACAGCGGCTGCTGGGCCACAGCAGGCCGCCATAGGCGGGGCTCGTTGGGCACTGGCAGCCCGGAGAGATGCGCAGGCAAGCACACGGCGGGCGCACACGCAACCGAGGCGTGATTATGGACGATGGACGGATTTGGGTGGGAAAGGTGTCTTATCCATGTGTCACGTGGAAGGACTCGGCGACAGTACACTGAGAAGTGGGTGTGACATATCTTACCCTTACGGAAAGCCATGTGGGAGGGGCCTTTTGTAGTACTTTTGTTCCATGAGTCTATTTTAATGAGATAATCCCCCCCGCCACCTTGGCCTGAGTGAAAAAAGCCCCCAGTACTACTGCTGATTGCTTTGTAACCATCATAATTGTGACAGGAACCAAGAGTCTCGTGACAGCATGGTAATTGAAACACTTCCTTAAATCTTCTCTCTCCCACTCTAATTTAATAAAGTATTATTTTTTAATTATGCCAAATCGTCTGATATTATTATTCACTTTGGATGAAATGAGAGCAAGTGGACCAAGCTACGAGGAACATTCCGGCAGAGAACGACTCATTTCTTTTGGGTCCCTGGTGTTTGAGGGGTGGGGTACTGATTAGGCAACACCGGGGTCACCAGAGACTGGTGGTAGTGCACGGGCATTGTGTGTGGCACGAGGGTCTTTCCATGATGCATTCCCCGCCCACTTCACTCTCATTGGCCCACAGTGAATCGAGATAAAATGCAACAACCAATGAGTTACATGTACATAGCCTCATGGTCCCTACAGGAGCTGTAAACCTCATATAGGCTACCTGCTATCTGAAAGACTTTCAGACACATGGTCGACTCCCTGCTTTTAATATATGTTGTTTTCCCACAATGCATTGGGAACATCAGGTACATTAATAACACACAGACTGTAAAGGTGTACTGTATATTTATGTGTTTACAGTGGTTTCCGCTCTTTTAACTTTTCATTTTTTTCTTAGTGTCTCGTAGTCTCCCTTTATATGGGATTTTTACATTTTAGAAATAGATCAAATTTCGCTGGCTTCCGTTTCTCCAACCGTACACTCAGCCGTATGAATTATCTGAAGTAAAATATTATTTTGCAGTTCATTGCCGTCCAATCACTGGGTTTTCGGGAGGGTTAATGTTCTAGTATCTAGGTAATAAGAACTGCTTATATCCTTAGAACCCCAAGAGTAGCGTATAAATCATTATTGCCATTAATGTCTTATGACTTATTCAAATTAGTTTTTCCTTGCCGTTGTCCACCCATGCCTCTGTTAAATCCCCAAGCATTAATTGACTTCACTTCACTCATATAGGCTATGTCTCAAAACTAATTAATGGTGGAGTTTATAAGCAATTACTGCACTCTTGATAAACTTATACACTGTTAATGGAACAATCTGAATAAAACATGAAAGTGAAATTATGATGTATGACGGGAAAGGATAGAAGTGGTTTTCGTTTACTTGGGAGATGTGTTTTTTAGTGAGAGGGATAGAGTTCATACTAAACCATGCTCTCAATGAGTAGAAATTCCAAACAGAGTTCGAAAGGGAAATGCGCAAATTCGTGAACCTAAAATATATATTTGTGTTAGCCTACAACATTTTTGTTGTAATTGTGTCTTCCAGATTTAGTCTAGTGAACCTATACTTGTCTAGTTTTTATTTATTTGCTTACATTTGTCTATATAGGTATTTGCAGTCACAAAACAAATTCACAGTATAACCAAGCAATAAAAATAACGTTTATATTTAAACCGTCTGTAATTAATGTTGATAAAAAAATGCGTAATTTTTCTAATAGTGTAAATTAGAAAAGGCCTTAAGTAAATTTCATACTTCGTCAAATTTTTATGTGTGAACGGCTGCATGGCATCTGGAATATCTAATTGTCATTTTAATTTCTGTATTTCCTAGTGCGTTCTGGGTTTCTGTTTGAAATGACTGGGATTAGTATAGATGGTTGACGATGGTATTTCATGTAGCACGAGTGTCATTTTGTATTTGTGTTACAGGGCCTGTTATATATTCTAAAAACGAGTCTATTTCCTGGCTCTTACAGTCCATTCTGACGTTTAAAGACGCTTCTCTCTCGCAAAACAATCTAAATAGATGTGTGCACGAGAACTGGTGATGCGTTGGGTGTCTGACAAGGGAACTTACATTAGAAGGCCTCGTGCCTTTATCCATATAGGCTACTTGCTATATGTTTTGATCGCTGAACGAGAAAAAATCTGCCGCTACTTTTAATTACATTTAATTTTAAAAAGGTGATTTTATGTTTTTTTTTTTTTTTTGTATTTCAAAACAGAAGTGGTAAAGAATATAGCGCCACGAAAACTAAAGCACAGCTTGAACTTGTCTGTATATAAAAAGTTTTTGGCTCCATCATTCATAGCGTTATAAATCTTCCAAGTCGTGATTTTCCAATATTGAAATGTTCATATTTTGAATTATATTTCGACAATAAACAAATCGTCGCCTCCACCCCTTTAAATAAAAAAAATCCAAATATCGCGAATCTAGTAATGAGCATATTTGCGTAAGCATTGTTGTGTTTTACGCGTTACATACGATTGTTTTAAAATTAATGGCGTAATTTAATCTGGTTGCTCAAATTCAGCTCCTTTTAGCCGGATGCGTTATTTTAAGAAGTTTATGTAGGTTTACGATTCTGTCAAATATTTATGGTGTTGAAATATAAAGCGTTTTTTGTATAGCTAACAACTTGGGCAGATTTTATAGCAGAACTTATGTGCTTTTTTCCTACAAATCCGTGTGTTTTTATGCCTGTTGGTTAGCTTTTAAGGTGACGGATTCGCCAAGCATCTGAATATTCGTGACATCACATAAACCCTGCCTTGGGTCTGTAATGGGAATTTTTTTTACGCAAGAGATGCGACCAGGTCATTGATGTTGGTGGTGGCCGGCCGCCGTGACAGGGACTCTGTGATGGTCAATAACGGAACTCAGACGGTACCCATGACTCACTGACACACTGCGAAAGGCAACGGTCTGACTGTGATGGCTTTTTCAAAGTGTTTGGCAGACGGATTTATTTCCAATAAAAGATCATTTCCTGTATTTTTTCGACAGCTTGGTCTTTAGGTTTGAGAGCCAAAGCACGCACCGTGAAGTTTTGTGAAATTTCTTTCCACATCGTAATTAATGCCATTTGGGACTTGCTTAATTACATAATCGGTTATTTAGAAATTGTTATTATTGCTGTGTATATGTTTTGAGCAGTTTTAGTATGACACGCGATATGTCAGTGTCTATCTATTATAGAAGCGACCTTACCGCTGTGAACATGTACATTAATGCTATATAGTAGGTCATTGATGGAAGTTACTATTTTTGGATTTATGGAAGAAGGTGGAGTTTTGTGTTGTGACAGACCGTCCAGCTGAGAATGCATGGGTGTACATACGTGTGTGTTTGTATCGGGACGGCGGTAGGTTTATGGTTGGGGGGGAGGGGGGTTAAATGAGTGAATTTATTTTGATAATTCTCTCTCTGCACCCAGCATTTTGCTGTCTTTGTCAAAATGAATGACAACAATTTGGCGGGGGATCCAGGAGCCACAGTCGGCATTGACAAGCGAATTATCAGGGGCCCAGAGATGCTCATTATGAGCGGAGAACTCATCAGAGCGACCCCGGGAAGAGCCCTCTCTCCTGTCACTATTTGTCAGTGGGACAAGGGCTACCGCTAGGGCCGCCTGACAGGTAATTTCAACAATAACAATTACTCCGATTACTGGTGTCATAAACAATTCGCCCCAGGCAGGGCAATAACAAAGCTTTATAATTCCCAGCCATATAAATAAATGCCAGTGGGTAACAAGCAATTTAACAGAGGAGCGCGCGCACCCCCCGCCCCAACCCCGCCGCCACAGCCAACGCGCGTATTACTTTTGTTCGACGGAAAAGACTGAAAATTGTGAAAGGAGGCAAAACTAAAATATGTATTTGTAAATAGATAAGAAAAGCATTTTACAAACACTAATCTGCCAACGGGAGGCACTGGATTCGCAATAAAATTACAGCAAATAATTCGGCTGTTGGCTAATTAAGATGAACAAAGGGAATAAACGATTTTGGGCTTAATAAACATACGCATGAACATACAGTTACAAAAAAGGGGAAATAATGCATTGGTACAAATTTAGAGCACAGTAATTACATGTGTTGATTGGAACATATAGCCTTCTGAAGTTGAATATGAATATTATTGAGCGTCAAGAAACTCAGGGATCGCTTGGGAAAACAAAAAATATTACTTTGGCTTTAAAAGCGCAGAGGTTTTTAACATTTGAAAATATCTACGGTATAATTTATTATTTCAAGGTAGCGATAATTGGCCTTGACTCTTTTAAAATAAATATATTATCATTCTGACGCAGGTGTTGCATGAAAAAAAAAACACTCGTGATCTCCTTCGTATTCCGTGAATTTAAAGTAAACATAAAATAATGATGGATTTATTACACGACCTTTCACTAGCAGTCTTGCGAGTCACGTTCCCGGGCGCCCAGCTCAGTGGGAGCCAGAAATGTCCTGTCTTCGTCCAGGAAAACATCCCACATCCCGTAAAGCCCCGAAGCACTTAGAGAATTCGAAAATCCCTAATTAGGAGAGCTGTGGAACAATTAACGCGTGTCAAAGTCGACACCATCGAGTGCCAATATATTTTTCTCACTAAAAATTAATGGCCTTTTTTCCCCTCTCCTTTTCTTCGGCGTCCTTATTTGTGGCCCCTAAGGCAACGTGGATTCGGATATCGTCGCTCTGGATTGTCGCAAGACTAAGCAGCTCGGTAATTACTAGGCAGCGGATTCGCGGCTGCCTTTCTTAACACTCGCCACATACAGTTAATCAACAGTCAAATTACCCCCCCCCCCCCCAAACAAAGGATAACAGCGGTACTTCGTGGTTCAAAAACAAATCTAACAACAAAGAGCGCGTACATCATATCAAAGTTATTCTAAAATACCCCTTTTTCTTCCCTGTTTTCGTGCACTGACCTTTTTGAGATGTATATGTACATTTCGGAAAAGAGGCAAAAATGTTACTGCAATCAGACAAAATATAAAGATATTTCACATTAGCTAAATAGAAATGTTGTTATGTTATTAAACCCATTATTTTAAACTATATTTGCATTAACTGATACATGCCAATAAGGAACAGTTCACGTTGTACATCATACGGGTTGTTACACGGAATGGATCGACACCCACTGGCTTAATGAAAGGATGACAGGATTTCAGCTCCATGTTATTGAAATGTGTATATTAATACAGGTATTATTAAAACAAAGCGTTTGCAATGTGTAACATTCGAAATAACATCAACAACAACAACAAAAAAAAAAACTCAACAGACGACGTACGTATTTTGAATTAAAGCTAAAACTTAAATTGAAGTAAAATAGACGAAATGGATGTGTGTATAATTATTTTCCGAAAAATTTAAGTTGCAGACTTCGGAGATTAACAATGGACATCAGGATGTAAAAATGGAAAACTGATCTCGGCAGGGATACACGCGCCGCGCATATAAAATATATTTCTATGCAAAAATAATATGTGTATATTTATATACATATACCTGTATAATTACTTCACATATACTAGCTGCTATTCTCGTGAAAGCTTCGGAAATATTTGCATTAATATATAAGAAGTAACAGACGCCGGTTCAGTCACCTATTTTGCTGCAACGTAACAACTTGTGCATTTTAAGTACTTGACTGGCTTCTAACCTTGTAGATCCCCCCCACCTCCTCTAATTAATTAATTAATTAATTAATTAATTGTTATGAAATTGGTTGGTGTTTTTCTTTAATTGGCACAGACGATGAGGGAGACATATATTCCCAAAAAGTTTAACGGTATTTATACAGGACGGAGATGAACACGCGCGTGGGGCGTAGAGAATAAAACCAACGGGCGCCACATGAATATCACAGCAAAGGCCACGTTGTTTTGTTTTTTTTTTCTTTTTTTAAATCTCAGTCTATCGTTCACGTTACGGCGAGTTTTATGCGTGTGAAACGTAATATACTGCATGTTGTTTTTGCACAAGGCGAGGATGTTTAGCGGATGAAGGAGAGATGATTTGAAATGCTGAAGCAGCAAACAGGAATTCCCACTATAAACATATCAAAATTTGAAAAATAATTCTTTCGAAATATTCATTCAGGCTATTAATATCGGCATAAATAAAAGTTTTTTTTTAAACTATGAACGCTCCTAAATTATTCCTGTCAAATAATTTTATTTAAACGGCCATATACATTCATTTTAATATGCAATTCTCCTTTCATATACCATGATGGTATAAAAATAAATTTGTGGAAAAAAATTAGGACAGAGCTCTACTTTTGAAAAATGACTCTAATTCAGGTCAGTACCTTTTAGAACTAACCTAGGACTAAATACGTATTTTTGTCTACATAACCGAAATTAACATCATTCCTCCGTCCTCCGACAAAGACGCGCATTCTTGCATGTAAACGACAAGATACGCTTCCTGAATAAGATGAAAATGGAATATGACTGAAACAGCAAACACAAAAAATTGAAACAAATGTATACAGCAAGGAGCAAAATGAAAAGAAAAATCCGAAGAAGGTCAGTGCCGTTCCTCGGAATTCCCACAGATTAGTGGGGCCACTTTGAAGTTTTCAATGGACAGAATGCAAACAATAGCTGGTTAGCACATTAACTTAACTCGAGGATGAAAAGGTGCTTTTGTTACCATTTCCATTATCAAAGCTGCCCGTCGTCCAGCTACAGGCACCGCGTGCAGACGGCTGGGAGTCTCGCCCGTCTCTCGCGCTCGCTCTCTCGCGCTCGCTCGCTCTCTCTCTCTCTCTCTGCCCGGGATCCTCTTGCTTGTGCATCTCATTTGCATACATTTCTGCCTCGCCGGGGAGGCCTTCAGCTCATTAAGGCTTCCTCTTACAAGCTCCCGGAGTCAAGCTGCGGCAGACGCGTACCTGCAGCGAAGGAGGCCACTGCCTGAAGAGGGAAAAGGGAAAAAGAAGGGTGGGGTGGGGTGGGGGGGGGTGGGGTGGGGGGGGGGGGGGGGGGGGGGGGGGGGGGGGGCAAT